TTTGTTTTGACTACTTCCATTCTTGAGAGGATAATCAATACATGGCTAATCTGAAGTGAACATTGAATACTGCTTTCTATCCCTCCATCTTGTGACTGTGGAGCTCCCTCTCTTGGATATCAGCANCACATAGTTTGTAGTGTTTTCCTAGTCATTGTAGCGGACTGCTTAGCAAGTCTGACATAAAACAGGAAACTGTCATCAGGTACAATATACGGGAGGCTGTGGCTCAGTGGGTAGTGTGCTGAACTTTGAATCAGGGGGTAGTAAGTTCGAGTCCCACTGCAGTCAGCATGTCGTTGTGTCCCTGAGACACTTCACCCCAAATTGCTCCTGTGGGGATTGCCCACAGTATTGAGTATGTAAGTTGCTTTGGATAAAAGAGTCTAACAAGTGACATGTCATGTAATATTATAAAATATAAAAACCCAACAATGGTACACAAGTTGTACTCAGCTTAGATTCTATCATCATTCAGAGCATTTGGGCTGTTTCATTTATCAAAACACAAGTACAGTGACACAAAGATTATAAATAAAAGAACAATTTCAAAGTGCAACAATTACCAAGAGACCGGTGAGAGTCTGGGAGGAATTACAGAAACCAAACGTCCAATTATCCCCTGCTGCGACAACACAAACATCAAACACTCATGCATTCATCTCATCGGGTAATTCCCATTGAGGAAAACAGAGCCACTCATTTGTTATTAATGCATTAATCTGCCATTGTCCCAGATAAATCAACTGCACTTATCTCTTTATAACCGGCACATGTAGTATATTTGGTTTCTCTTATGCGTGCCACCGAGTCGAAACCTAAATCCTCCAAACAATACATTTGCCCCAAAATATAATCCTGTGCTGAATTAATCAAAAAATAATATACATTCTGCACTTAATCCACTGTATATACAGCACTTAATCCTCTCCAGTGAGCAAGGTTAAGGCACAGTAATATCAGCGTTAATGCCGTTTTCAAACATGCCTTACACGACATCTGCACTATTTCTTCATATATTTCAAATTATCTAGTTTTTCTGAATTTAGATGAAAAGTTGAAGAGGTTTAACAGCTTGATTGCCATCTCTTCACATTGTGAACTAAAAAAACAAGTAACATAAGTAAATGTGTGAAAAATACACTTAAAACTTCTCCGTCTTACTTATTATTGTGAACTTTTGGCACTTGAAGGCCAACGGCAGCCTGAGGCTCTGCTGAGTGTTGGCTCAAGACTAAAAGGTGAATCCGTAATGATTCCTCTTTAAATGATGTATTATTTAATATCCTTGTTGGCTTGCTTTCTACTTTAGTTTAATCCTTAACTCTTGTATTAAAGATGACACTTTGTTTTAAAAAGTGTGATTAATTATTCAGGCAAACTTTAAAAACAATGGATGTTATTTTTCACAAGTCCGATGCCAAGCCTCTATTTATAAAACCAGTATGTCGCACATTGAGTTTGAGTTTGCATTGTTGCTCATTATTAAGCAATGTAAAAATAAACAGTGCTGTTAACACACAATTACACAATGCTTTACAGATGATTAAACAAATCCATGTCAAACACAGGAAGACAACTGAGGTAACACAAGTCCAATCTATCAATGAGATATTTTAAATCATAAAATAAAGAAAATATCCTTCAACGTATAATCCTCAACACCTTTAATCAATTTTCAATAAAAACCTACAACTTAAAGGTCACCTATTGTGCTAAACCCACTTCTTCGTGTCTCTTCTACATCAACATGTGTCCCCTCTTCTCCGTGTCTCTTCTACATCCACATGTGTCCCCTCTTCTTCGTGTCTCTTCTACATCAACATGTGTCCCCTCTTCTTCATGTCTCTTCTACATCAACATGTGTCCCCTCTTCTTCATGTCTCTTCTACATCAACATGTGTCCCCTCTTCTTCATGTCTCTTCTACATCAACATGTGTCCCCTCTTCTTCATGTCTCTTCTACATCAACATGTGTCCCCTCTTCTTCATGTCTCTTCTACATCAACATGTGTCCCCTCTTCTTCATGTCTCTTCTACATCAACATGTGTCCCCTCTTCTTCATGTCTCTTCTACATCAACATGTGTCCCCTCTTCTTCATGTCTCTTCTACATCAACATGTGTCCCCTCTTCTTCNCTCTTTCCTGTTATAATATCAGGAGGTATGGCCATGAGTACTTCCAGAGTGGGAAGGTTTTTAAAACAAAAATGATAATCCATTAAATTTGCTTTCCGTTACTTTTGGACAGAGGTGGGAAGTAACTAATACATTTAGTTAAGTACTGTACTTAAGTAACATTTTGAGATACTTGTACTTGAGTATTTCCATTTTATAAAAAACTAGCTGCAGCTTTACCAGCTTTGAGAACACTTTAATGATCAATCATTGTAAAACATATCATATATATTATTCTGAAAAGGACCAATCTGCACAATGACTACTTTAACTATATTTTGATGATAATACTTTTCTACTTTTACTTGAGTAACATGAATGCAGGACTTTTACTGTAACAGAGTATTCCTACACTATGGTACTTCTAGTACAAGATCTGAGTACTTCTACTTTTACTCAAGTACAATATCTGAGTCCTTTTCCCACCCCTGATTATTACTGACTGGACATACAAATCATTTCCCAAGTCTGGAGCAAAACCTTATAATAGATCCACAGCTGGTACTCCTGTGTTGCATGCTTTCCCATAATGATTACAGTACATGGCTTTTTCCATGGCGGACATCAATAGTGTGTGAGTCAGAGAGTGTGTGTGGGGGCATTTTTTACCACACAACTCACCAGCCCTGTCCACACACCCTCTGTGGGGGCAGGATATAACCTGGCTGGAAACACTGTTGTGCAAACACACAGATACATGCACACAGCCCATAATGCTTTTGAGCTCTGATTACAATACAGACTGATTTTGGGGTAAACTTGCCAGCAGCCAAACACCCATTAAATGAGTATTTTCAACTTTCTGATAAATACGTCTGCCTTGTTTACCAAATGTTAGCTTTGGAATACTTATCAGCTAAATCATGGCACTATTAAATTGTAAAAAGCAAGTTCTGAGTGACCTATTTGAGGAATCACAGTAGAAGCATGTTTGTCTGCAAGTTGAGCGTAATGCAATAGTACAGACTACTTTGTAAAGAGTTGGGTACTGATGCAATGTTTGAAATAATAACAAGTATTTCTCATGACAGCAATGATAACGGAAAATGAGGGAAATAGGAATAGAGCAGTCTACATTTCAAGATAGTTCCCTGACAAAACATCCAACATCGATGCAACGTTTCTGGTTAATTCTGAAACTAGTTTTGTAAGTTAAACAATTTAACTGAAAATCCAAAATCAAGACACAAGCACACATCCTACTACAGTATAGGTTGTGATTCATTAGAACAAAACAGATCTAAATGTGAAGAATTAGTACATGATTTACTACCACTAATTAAGCAATCAGTTCCAACTTATAAACCCTAAATAAACGGTGACTTGTGCAAAGGAAGAACCAGAAAACTCCACTGGCTTACATCAGTTTCTCTATTTTTTTAGTATTTACCATTATATCAATGTGGTAGCACATTGAATGGCTCAAATATGTGAATCTAAAATTCTAATTAACTACACCGAGACACATTATTAGAATAAATTGGTTTATTTTCGAGGAATATCCCAAAAATAAATCCTCCTCACATATATATTTACTCAAATGACACATTTCCAGGTTGGTGGTAATCACCTGTTGCTCCTGACGTCAACAACAGTAACGTAAATAGAAACAAAACACTGAAAAACAGCAGGATACATAACTTTTAAAAGGCTGTATAAGTGTGTACGTAAGCAGTGTGTTTTTTAGGATTAGTACTGTGTCATTGTGCATTAATTAATACATTATTGACATGTGTACTCACCTCCACTCCGAAAGCCCCGCAGCCTTTAATAAACTCGCTGATGTTTTTCTGACACTCGCTGTCTCCTCTCGGCTCCTGGAAAAACTACACACAAAAAAGTGACTAAATTAGCTTTAAATACTCCCACAAATTAATAATAAACCTTTAATTAAAGTGTTAAAGGTTCCTTCTGAATTAAAACAATCTTATTGCAGGCGTTGCTAGTGCACTTTCCACTTGATGCTCTCCAGAATCAAGGTAGCTAAATGTAAGCTGAACTTCCGGTTTCAACTTTCAAATTAAAATGTTAATTGAATGTATTGTTCCTTCTGTGTTGAAAATGTTGTGTATCTGGCCAAATTGAATTAATAAAACAACTCATATATATTTAAACATTGAAATACAATGTGATACTCTCAAAATTAGTGCCAAAAAAAATAGTATAGGTGGTGACTTAGAGAAGCTAAAACGTGCTATGCTTTTATTTTATTTTTATTTTGTTTAACTAACACGGAAGATGGATAAACCGAAGCAGGATATGACGTTGACAGGTTCATGGTCCATCGTGTGTGTGTGTGTGTGTGTGTGTGTGTGTGTGTGTGTGTGTGTGTGTGTGTGTGTGTGCGTGCGTGCGTGCGTGCGTGCGTGTGTGTGTGTGTAGGCCTGCAGCATAATATGAGACAATGGCACTGTAGTTTTTTAGTACTGTAAATTAGGGCTAATTAGTAAGTATAATTAGCCTAGATTAAATAATTAGTTGTATTAAAGTATTGCAACAATATGTTTTAGTTCCTAGTTTATGCAGGGACCCGAATCCTCTGATGATGTATATATTCAATCCTTATTTTTATTTTTTTGTTTCCTTAAAATGTATATTAAACAATTTGGAAAACAGAAAAAATAGGTCGCCTGTATGGCCACATGCTGGGGTTATAAGTAATGATATACCAATTTAATATGTAATTTCTCCTCTCTTTTTCCACAACAAACCAGATTTCAAAATGTTAAAACATATTGGGGATGTTTTATTGCTTATTTGCAGACAGTAAATACTCATAATCATAACACTGTTATATCTACTGTTTTCCCCTAGCAGGATGTTCATTCTAATTGTGTTTATTCATTCATTATGAATCAGAATCAGAAACAGATTTATTACCAGGTAGGTTGATACGTACGAGGAATTTGACTTGGGGTCGTGGTGCATACATACAAGTAAAACAAACATTTAAAAACACAGATAGAGAGCTATTTTAAGAACACTATAATAACATGAAAAAATATAGTAAAATAAAAATAAAATAAAGCAGTATTTACATTGAAATATAATGGAATACAATATGTGCAGTAAAAAAAACAGATATTGTAGATATAGGCTGACATTTCTAAGTCATTTATGTTGTTTTCATTATTTCTACGTGTGCTACCCACATGCATGCTTCTGGATAATGTGTTTTTTCCCAGTCTATTCAATGCCTGTACTCACTTTGTCCACCGTCCCGGGTCGCAGTCTCTCCAGCAGCCTGCACAGCACCGCTCCATCCTGTAGGGAGGTCTGCAGGAAACCCTCCGGATCAGAGATGCTTTTCTTGGGAGAGTCCAGGACCCCCAGCGTTATGAGCCAGGTCACCGTCTGCTCGGCTGAACTCATGCCTGGAAATAGTCTCTAATGTCAGAAAACAGCAGCAGCAGTGTTATTCCTACTTGTCCGAAATAAGAGAGGAGGGTCAGCCAGCCCCGCCTAGTCTGCACATTACGGTCAATGCACACTGCGAACACACACTGATGATGCAAAACGGGAAAAAATAAATGTGGAAATGACTATATGATCTCTCTCTCTCTCTCTCTCTCTCTCTCTCTCTCTCTCTCTCTCTCTCTCTCTCTCTCTCTCTCACTCTCTCTGTCTTTCTCTCTCTGAGCGGACGTCGGCATCACCTGCGTGCATGCACAACTGTAGCAGCAGTACCAGAGTAAACAGAGACACTGTGAAACACCACTTCCTTTGATTCTTTTCAAAATAAAAGCTTGTGGACATTTCACTGTTGACTGTCTTTTTAACCAGTTTGTATAATTAATATTGTGTATAAGTGTCATGACTGTGAAGCACTTACATACACTATTGAATTGTTGTTAGCCTAGTGTTTGCATGCATGACTGATCTTTAATTAACTTTAGCACTTTCATATTTCTATGTGAATATATTTGTCCTTTTATTTTGAAGACAAAACCATCCAACTTCCGCTTCAGCACGTGCTGTTCTGTATGGATTTGACGCAGCTCGTGACAGGACAGTCCATATATGACAGGATAATTAAACCACTCAAAGACGACGGTACTGTATCTGATCATAAATAATACTTTTATTTCCAAATAGGTGTAGATTAAAGGTATTTCTACA